GCAAGCTTCAGTAGGCTAGACATACTGTGGACTAGAGTAGCTTAATTGGGGTTGGGGGATCCAAAGTGACTTTACTCACATGTATGGCACTTCAACGAGGGGGACCAGAAGAGATGACTGGCTGGATGTCCTCTCTCTCTCTCTCTGTATTCTTTCATTCTCTAGGGCCTCTCTCCATGTGCCGCTCCCCTTCCATACCAGCAGGGTATTTGTAAGTATTCACATGGTAGGTTGGAACTCCACGAGGGTGAAAACAGAAGCTGCTATGCCTCTTAATGCCTAGACCTAGAACTGGCCAGGCCTCATCTCTCTCACATCCTTCACTCCACATAGTTGCCCATCAGATGGTTGAACTTAGATACTGTCCTCTCCCCAGACTCCTGCAATACTACTCCACATGGCATGGTTTTCGCTCCTTCACCATCCTCCTGGTTCTCCATGGCTCCTAGACCTAGAGCAATGACTGGTGCAGAGCGCTACTCAACAAGTATTTTTTTCAGTAAACAAAGAAATGAATGCAAACTGTTGATCCAATGCTCTCTTCGGCAGCATCTATGCTAATACTGGAACCATGCTGGCCAAAATGGTGGCCAACGCTGCAAATTCTTCAAGCCTTTAATGTCTTTTACATCTTGAATCCCTTCCCCCACGAAAAACTTAGTAACTCATTAACATTCTCCAGTTTGCTCCTCAGCCAGTGAGGGGGTGAGAATGAGAACAGTCGCAATGCAAACAGCCTTCGGACTCGAGTGTCAGGGGTTAGAATTCCCAGGACCTGAAACAATCCTCCTTTCCTTCTCCACATAAGATCCCAAGTGGCTCAAGTAGTATCTTCAGAGACCATAACATGCTTCCGGGATCATTATCAGGGTGCTCTCTTCTCCTCTCTTTGGTGGCCTGAGTAAAGTTGCTCTGTTATACCCAGCAATGTGACTGACCCCAACCTTTGACACCTATCTTGTCCTATCATGGCCCAGGTTGACTTTAATGATTCCTTCTGCCAACCCAGAACTGCCCAATGCCCACACCAAGGGGGGCGTTCTCTCTCCCACCACGGCTAGTGCACAATAGTCCTTTCGCTGACTCTCGAGAAGGTGTATCTCATAGCCCTTTCTCTTTCAAGGAATGTGAGACCAGTTCCTCTTGGACATTTCAAAGACACCTCTAATGGCAAAAGTAGTAGAAATGAACTCTGATGCAAAGTACAGGGAACTCCCCAGACATACTGATGTGTGTGTGTGTGTGTGTGTGTATGGTTAAAACCAAATTTTCCTGACTCCCTTTCTACACTTCTTTTCACCGCAGCAAAGATAACACTACCAACTAATATTTAGTGAGTACTTACTATTTGCCAGGCATTGTTCTAGGTGCTTTATATATATCATCTCACACATAATTTGGGGAGGAGGAATCGATTTTAGGCAACTGAAGCATCATAGAGTGGGTGAATCTGGGGGACAAATCTAGAGTTTTATTAGGAAGTTGAGTCAAGATATGAAAGGTGAAGGTGAAAACCGGACAGGGTCAACAAACTGTGGGGATGTGTATGAGTGAGAAGACGAACAGCAAAATGCAGACCAAAGTGCCAAGGGCAGGGCGAAGTAGTAGCCCGTAGGGATTTTAGGATAATAAAATCAAAAGTGATCAAAGGACAGTGATACTATTATCATTTGTGAATTGAATTCTTTCCAAGTTTCAGAAGTAAAATTAATGTGTACTATTCTGACATAGCAAAGAGACCAGCTCTTGGGGCCAAACAAAAATAAAATACATCAGACTCTTAATGGGCTTAGTGGTATCTCTAAAGGGTTAGTTATTATCTGTTAAATATTTGAATAGAGCATTGTTCTGGAATAGCCACAGGAACAGCCCTTTGCCTAAAAGCAGAGGAACAAGTCTGAAAGCCCTGTCTGCAGTGAGAGCCACAGGGCAATGCTTCAACCCCAGCAACACTGTGTTGACAAGGTGGTCTGCATCCAGCCTGGCTGCAGAGACAGATGGGCTCCTAGCCAAGCGCATTAGGAGATTCCCGAGGACCAGTGAGAAGGAGCCTAGAAGGAGATCCCCTGTGTGTTTGTTATTAAGGCTGACTTGGTCAGGGCACGAGAGGCAGGCAGATGACGTGTGCTGAGCAGTGAGACCAGGTTTAGAAGAAACCCTGAAACCAAAGCCTCACTGGAAGAAATCTCCACATTCTCAAAAAACAAAACAAAACAAAACAAAAGCCACAAAAAAACAAACAAGAGAACCCTATCAATGATCCCCTTTGGCCTCTGTCTTCAACCTCTCCATTGACTGCTTCTCCTCATTATAAACTCACATTTCTCCAATCTTTGACAAAGCAACCAATCACAATGGAACAATTCACCCTTCATGCGTTCTTGCTAGTCCTTCTCCACTACTGGGAATGAGGTGTCTACACTTCCTGCCTCCACAATCCCGCCTCTCACTCGTCAAGCCACTGCTCCCTGGTTTCTTCCCGTCACCATTTCAGGGACACAGTTTCCACCAAGGTCACCAAAGACGTCTCAATCACCAGATTCAGTGCATCCATCTCCTTTCTTAGCTCACTTGACCTTCCTGTGGCATCTATCTGGACAGGTCCCTCCTTTTGGAAATTCTTTAATTTTTTTTTTTTTCTCCTCCAGCATTACTGTCCTCTTCTTTTGCTGCCTGACCCTTAATGGTTAGGGTTACCTGGCTCCATCTTTGGTCACTGCATTTCTTATCTGACACAGTCTCCTGGGAACCTCCCACAGGGTTTCAATCACCACCTGTATATTGATGTCACACAAATCTCTATATTCTGCCTTGACTTCTTTCTCAAAGCTGTATGTTCAGCTGTTCACTAAACATCCCTTTCTGCATGCCCCACGGAAATTTCGACACACAAAACCACCCATTATCTCATCCCCAAATTGTCCTTTCTTCATGGATTTTCTCAACTGAGTGCCAAAACTAATCATCCTGTTGCTTAAGCCAGAAACCAGGGAATGGTTTCTGATTTGTTCTTCCTACCCAGTTGGCACCTAGTGAGTCAGCAAGCCCTGTCTCAGCCCTTCTGTCTCCTGGTGAGAGCCCCCCAACTGAGCCTCTGCCTCCAGACTCTTACCCTCAAATCTACCTCCACAGTGGCCACCGGAGTAATTTGTCTGTACCCAAACCATGATCATGACCCTCCTCTGCTGAAAGTCTTCCTGTGGCTTCCAACTGACAACCTGTCTGTTCTCATTTCTTCCCCCCCTCCTGTTCCCACGCTATGCCCACACGGACACCAGACGGTAGGGGGCAAGCAGCCAATAGCTAGGGCTTTGGCAGCTAATCAGAGGGATTTCGGTTTGACAGAAGAGGATCTAGGAACCAGGTTCATGAGTGGGGCATGATGGCAGGTCATAGAAGTGGGAGACACATTAGCAGACTGCTAGGAATTGAACTCAAGTCTGCGTCCTCCCAAAATTCAGATGCTAAATCCTAATGTCCCATGTATTTGGAAGTGAGGCCTTTGGGAGGGGATCAGGTCATGAGGGTGGAGCCCTCATAAATGAGATTAGTGCCTTTATAAAAGAGACCCCAGAGAGCTGCCATGCCATCCTCCCCCTCCTACCTGTGGAAGAACGCAGGGTAAAAACTGTCCTCTAGGAACCAGGAAGTGGGGCCTCACCAGAAAACAGAATCACCAGCACCTTGTTCTTGGACCTCCCAGCCTCCAGAACTGTGAGAAATAAACTTTCCCGTGTTTGTAAGTCACCCCTTCCATGGTATTTTGTTATAGCCGCCTGAAGGGACGGATACTGGCTATTACAACGGAGACAAAGCGGTGAGAAAAGAGGACAGGTGAGCCTGCAGGACCCATGAAGAAGGGGTGATGTCTAAAAGGGAGAATCACCAGGTACAAGTAGTAAATAAATGTATAAGCAGGTCATGTCAGGCAGGCACTAGGAACAATGTAAACAAGCCTCCGGAAGTCTAGAGACTTTAAAGCCCCATTATTGGAAGCCCAGCACCAAGAACAGGAGCCCACACACACTCCAAGGCAAGGGCGGGGGGGGGGGGTGGGGGGGGGGCAGATGCTGCTAGAAAGGAATAGCTTCTACAAAAGGGGAGAGCAGGGAAGTTCAGAAGAGGGGACAAACGTACAAGAACTGTCCTTGTGACAAAGGCCGCTGTAAGTAGGTTACACTCAGGGGCTGCGCCAGTGACTTCTTACAGGTGGGCTTCGGGATGATGAGAGAAGCGGCATTCATCATCAGGCAGATGCAAAACACGGTGTCCGAAATGTTGCCAGGACTGCAAACAAGTGACCCGCCAGAGTTAAGTCCCTTTCCCAAAACCACAGGCCTTGGAGAAGCACGACCGCGCTTGGACTCTGGAGTCCTGCAGGTCCGCGTTCGAATCCCGACTGTGCCGCCAGGCAAATGAGAGCCACCTCCCGTGACTCCGGCTGAAGAGCCTGCCCTGGGTGGGTCACACTGCACTGTCAAGGGCAGACCTGGGGCGAGGACCCAGCAAGGTCGCTGACTCCAAAGCGGGGCTCTTTGCAGGCAGCCTGATGGCCGGGGCGGCGGGTCCCCTCGCGCAGCCGTCCGCCAGGCCCGCAGCGCCTTAGTGCCCCCCTCACCGGAGAGCACCCGCAGCAGGGGCCCGCGGGGGGCGGGCGTGGGACTGGGGGGCGCAGGGGGAGGGCAGCGCCCCCCAGAGTGGCGCGGGCCGGCGGGGAGGGGGGCGGCCAGGTGGTGATTGGCTGCGCTGCGGCAGGCAGCTCCGGGCCCAGAACAAAAGAGAGCGGGCGGCGGGCGTCCCCCGGAGTAGGCGCTCCCGCCCGCCCCGCGCGGGCTTCGGTGCTGGGGGAGGACGCGCCCACCGCCCGCCCGCCCGCCGAGCAGCCGGGCTGGCGCGCTCGGTTTCTGGGCGAAAGCCGGCCGTGCACCTAGGAATTAACCGGCCGGCGCGGGAGGGGAGGGGAGCGGGAAGCGGGCGGGGGGGATGCGGAGCGCGCGCGAGAACAACAATAAGATCGTGTTTGCGGTCGCTGCCCGAGGAGGAATTCGGAGGAGGCGCGAGGCCCGGCGCTCGCGCCGCGCCCGGGAGCCCGGGAGCCCGGGAGGGAGGCCGGCGGCGGCATGAGGCAGGCGACGCGGCGCCTGTGAGCAGCGCGCGGCGGCGGCGGGGACCTCGGCGCGGGCGAGAGCCGAGCGGCCGGGGGCCCCCCTCCCCCGCTGCCGGGCCGTGATTTGCCGGGCCCGCTGCGCCCCCCGCCCACCCCTCGCCTCAGCCGCCGCCTCGCCGCTTCCCCTCGTCGGAGCGGCCGCTCGAGGCCCGCGGGGAGCGCGGCGCAGCCCGTCGGCCCGCGGGGGGGCGGCCTCCCGGCATCTTCGCGGCGACCGAGGACGAGCGGGGGAGGAAGCGGCCGGGATGGCGCGTCCGCGGCCCCGCGAGTACAAGGCGGGCGACCTGGTCTTCGCCAAGATGAAGGGCTACCCGCACTGGCCGGCCCGGGTGAGTACGGCGGCCGCGGGCCCGCCCGCCCACCATCTTCCCCTTCGTGATGGCGCGCCCGCCCCCTTTCCCCGTCCGCCTCAGCCCGGAGCCCGGAGCCCGGCGCCCGGCCCCGCGAGCCGGCCGCGGCCGGGGCTGGAGGCGCGGGCGGCGCTGCGCACGGAGCTCGGGCCCGGGCCGGAGGCGACGCTTCCGGGCCGCGCCCGCTCCCCGCTCCCCGCTCCCCGCTCCCCGCGAGGGCGGCCATCCTTCCGCCCCCTCTCGAGGGCGGCTCCGGCCCGGGCAGCCGCGAAGCCGCGCCGCCGGGCAGCGGGCCCGGGCGGGAGGCAGCGCTGCGGGCCGGGTCGCGGGTGGGAGGCCGGGCCCGGGCGAACGTCGGGGCGCGCAGGGGAGCGCAATGCAAATGGCTGTCGGCGAGCCGGCGGGGCCGCGCGGCGAATCCGGGGAAGGGCCGGTGGTCCCCCGAGGCCAGCAGGGGCCTCTTGGCAGCCGTTCCTCCATCCCTCGGCGCCTCCTTCGCCCTCAGACTTGTTGAGCCTCCCCTGAGCGCGGTTCCGGGAGCCCCGCCGGCCCCACCATTGTCCTGGGGTGCGCGCCTGCACCCCCCGGGGTGGCCGCGAGCTCGCAGCCCGGCGCCGAGCTGGCGGGTCCGGGAAGCTCCTCGTGCCTTTCACCTCCATGTTTGTTCTAGGTCGGATCCCAGACCTTCTCCTTGGCCTCGCGCCACGGTCCACAGTAGCTCTCTCGCCCCGTGTGGCAAGGTTGTCGCAGGGCTCTTTCTCTAGAAAGCATCTGCGTGTAATTCACAGCATTCATTTTTTCATTTCTTTTTTTATCGGGCCCTTGGAGCGAGGAGCTCAGCACTGCCGCGTGTGCTTTGCGTTTTAAAAATAAATCCCTTTTACTTTTGATTTTTATCCTGGTTGGCAGTTAGTTGTTTGAAACGAGAGAGGCAGAGAAAAGGAGGGTCAGGGCATTTGGAGGCTCTGCTGGTATCCTTGGGCAACAGAGGTGGACGTGGGAAACACTGGCATAAATAAGAGTGTGAGCTCTAAAATGTGGTATTACAGTCAAGTGGAGGTAGCGAGACCAAGGGGGGGGAGAAGAACACCCATTCACAAAAGGAAGTGACATCACGGGTGGCCAGGCTGAAATTCGTGAAGTTGAAGTAACGATGGACATGGTCACTTTTTTTGTATTTAGTTTGGCACGATTGTAAAATAGAAAGAACAGTTGGCCTGGGAATGGGGGGTGGGGGGCTGGTGTTTGGTTTGGGCTTTGTTATGGGCTAATCATTTCAACTGTCTGAACATCCATTTCTGCAGCTATAAAATGATCATCTCTAGGATTCCTTCCAATACTAACACCTCAGATTTCAAGCGAGGGTCAGGTTCCATTAGGCTGTGAAAATAACTTTGGAGAGTCAAAAAAAAAAAAAAACCCAAAACTTAAAATTTCATTAATAAGTTGCCACCTGTAGTAATTTTGAAACAAAAAAAGTGCTGCAGAAGTAGTCCTAGCTGTGTATCTAATTGCACGTGAAATTCCTAGAAGTTGTAATTCCAAAACCAAGGCAAAATGGAAAATAAAATGAGGAAACAAAATCAGGTTGTTAGATAAAATAAATGCAGGGGGAAAAAATCTATCTCTTCCCCATTTAACATAAACTTTTCAAGGAAAGGACATGTCTCTCTCTTTTTTTTAATTAAAAAAAAGGTATTTTATACTGAGTAGCATGTTATAATTTCCAAGGAAAGGTAAGGGTTAGAAAAAGGTATTTGAGTCCCTACTCTGTTAGTACCATGCTGTATGCTTCATGTATGTTCTCATGTTATTTCCACTCCAGTTCTCTGAGGCATTATCCCCATTTTACACCTAGCTATAGCTTTGTAGATGATATTACAAAATGCTAACTGGGGGAAAAAAAATCCTACTTATTCAAATTTCAAATACTGTCACTCGATATGAAGGCCTGTCTTGTGGGGATTAGATTTTGTATGGCCCCAAGGGATCAGACCTAGGAGGAAAAACATGGGGGAGACAGATTTCGGTTCAGACTGTGGGGAGGACTTTTCTATCAAAGAAGGTCCATGCTTGAATGGAGAAGCAACTTCCCAGCTGTAGGGAAGATGTTGGGTCCTAGGCAGCCCCTTGTGAGGAATGTGGGCCAAAAGGATTCACTCATCTAGTATATTTGGTCAGGTTGGATTCCACTTTTGGCTGCGCTTCATACTCTGTGACCTTAGGCATATTCTGTAATCTTTCAAAATTTTAATTTACTAGCCTGTGAAATAGGCATAATTCTCACCTCACAGATTTAAGGGTGTGTAAAAGCACCAAGCAGCGGTGCTTGGGTGTTCCTCCCTTTTTTCCATTTTGGATTTCTAACTTTTCCCCTGTATTACTATACTGTTTTTAATTTTCAACTTTTGAGTTAGATGGGTTATTTTCCCCAACATTTTGTTGAAATGAATCATTTCAAATGTATAGAAAAGTTAAAATAATTGTACAGTGAACACCCTTATATCTACCACTCAAATTCTACAATTAACATTTACCGTACTTGCTTTATCATATTATTCATGTATCCATCGCTCTATCCATACAGCAGTCCATCTTACTTTAATGCATTTTAAAGTAAGTTGCAGGCATCAGTATAATTTACTCCTAGACACTTCAGCATGCATTATCATTAACTAGAGGTCAATATTTTTCATAGATCCTTTTTCTTTTTTCTTTTTGTCTTTTGAGGTAAAATTTATATAAACAAGCACACTTAATGTACTATTCAGTGAGTTTGACAGATATACACTGGTATAATCCAAACCCTGCGCAAGATAGAGGGTAGTATCAGTACCCATGAAAGTTCCCTCATGGCTCTTCCCAGTTAATTCCTCTCCTCTTCCCTATTCAGATGTATTATATTAACATTTAGTAGCCAGCTAGCTGTTTCTGATGGAGTATGTTTTATATTGCATATGACTTAAAAATACAAGTTCATTTGTACCTAAGGATTAACTAGCTTGATATTAAAAATACTTATGCTAAAATAAGAGTCTCTGAACCCTGTTGATTGTGTACCCTATTGGTTAAAAAAAAAATTGAGCATGCATCCCTAATATGTATAAATTTACCTTAAATTATATATACATGTACTATTACATACATTATAAAATAAATACCCAAAGAAACTAAAGGGGATGACAGATGATATAATTTATGTTTTAAAATTCTTATTAGCAAAATATTAATAGTAGATGAAGTCTGTATGTTTAAAGATATTAACTTTTGGAATATTTTTTCCCTGTTTCTTGTGGGATATGACTAGATAGTTTTTCTGAAGAGATTTTCTATAATAGAACTGTCAGCTGGGCCATTTCCTTGTTTGCTTGTGCTTACATTATTGGTATTATCTTTGCAGGACTCCTTTTAGCCACTTGTTCATTTGGCAAGAGTTCATTTAGAAGTGAATATTTCGTAATTTTGCTCAACTAGGCACTCCCACATGGCAGTAAATCACAGTGTGCCCAAAGTGAATAAATATAACCATCTGAATAAGGACACCAGTGTCAATTTATATATTAAATATTATACGTTTTAGGTAAAAGAATAAGAAACTAAAAAAGAAATTGTACTGTTTTCTTCTTACACCCTCCCCCCAAATTGTCTTGTATATCCCCTGAGGTGTGAACACTCTGTGTATGTTAGTTACCCCTGCTCTAAAAGATGGAAATAAAACAAAAGTCTCAAAACTCTTGTGTTTCAACCAAAGAACTCTTTTTAAATTTAAAAACTTTGTATGAGATCTCTCCAGCATTGCTAATCGGAGAGTAAATTGGTATGATCACTTTGGAAAACTGGCCCAATCTATATAGTTAATTTATATTGTACCTTGTAATTTAGAATTCTGTTCTAGGCATATACCCGAGAGAAATGAGTGTTTATGTCCACCAAGACTTGTACAAGAATGCTCATACATGACAGCTTTATTCATAATAGCAGAAGATTGAAAACAACCCAAATGTCCATCAACAGGAGAATGGCTAAACCAAATTGTAGCGTATTCATGCAGTGGAGTACTGCTCAGCAGTAAAAAGACACAGACTACTGATGCCCACAAAAATAGGGATGTATTTAAAAATTTGGGTTTGAGTGAAAAAAGCCAACACAGGAGTACATTCTGTATGATACCATGACCATCAAAAATCAAAAGCAGGCAAAATTGCTAAGTGGTGATCAGTTCTTGGTGGGGTGGAGGGGGGTGTTACAGACTGGGAGGAAGTCCTGAAAATGTACGTTATCATGATCTGGATGTGTACGTGTAAAACCTTATCAAACTGTACATTCAAGATTTGCACACTGTACTGTTTTACCTCAATTTAAAAAATGCATACTTTGTATGAAGTGGGAGAAAAGAATCTAATACTTCAGACTTCATGGATTGAATTTGACCATTCTTAGCTTTCTGTGAGAATTTTTTTTTTCTTTAAGGCTTCAGTGCTACCAATTTGCATCTTCCTGTTCCCTTTTGACCATCTTAGAAACTTCATTTACTACTTTACAGCTTTCTCGTTACATTTCTTTTTAGTTCTGGTTTCTGGCTGTCTTTTGTTTAACTATATTAGAGTCTTTCTGTTCGTTTCATACTAAATCGTTGCTCATCATATTTTTTGATCTAGCTCTTAACTTCTTACCTGATAAGAATAAAGCATCTGGGGGCACCTGGGTGGCTCTCTTGGTTTGGGCGTCTGCCTTTAGCTCAGGTCATGATCTCAGGGTCCTGGGATAGGGCCCCATGTTGGGCTTCCTGCTTGGCAGTGAGCCTGCTTCTCCCTCTCCCTCTGCCCCTCCCCACTGCTCCTGCTTTCACTCTTGCTCTCTCAAATGAATAAAATCTTAAAAAAAGAAAGCATTTGACTACCATTCTAGGACAGCTCGAAGCGCTAAACTCTTAGCTAAACTTTTACTGAGCACCTACTGTGTGTAAGGCACTGTGCTAG